GAAGTAAAAGTCACATTCCAGATGTTTGCTCACACCCTCAGATACAGTTGAAACTGAAATAGAAGACATACTCGAGGCAGAAAGACTACATGGGTTCAAAGTAGGAAACGATTCCCCCACACGCACTCTTAAGAATTTCTACCAGAAAAGAACTGAGAAATGAGCAACTACAGTGCTTCAATTTTAGTGAAATATAGAAAGTAGAAACAGGAAATAATTGTCCCTGATGAAATAAATTGAGGCTGTCTTGTCTAATGATAGTAGGCAATCAAGGTGATATTTCTATGATCCGTGAAAGATTGTACATCTTCTCCAGTGAAGGTCAACCTTCCTGCTGACTCCTTATGGATAGCTACCCAAAGAGTTGCTATAATTTGGAAAAAGACTCCATGACTACCATTATAACCTCAAAAATTAAAATGAAAAATAGACCTTCAACCTGATATTAATTTATTCATGCTTTTACTCATTCATATTCAACAAGTATTTTTTGAGTGCTTTCTGTCAACTATTATTCTAGCTGCTTAAAATACATTAATGAATAAAAAAGACAAAGATCCACACCTTCATGGAGCTTAGATATAATAAATACACTATATAGTATGCTAGAAATGCTTGACAGCAGTAAGTGCTATGCAAAAAAAAAAGTAGAGAAGGAAAGGGAGAGAGGTAGTGAGAAGAGTGACCCGGGAATGGGCAATGAGTAAGCTCATGGAGAGGTGAGATTTGAACATAGACTTAAGGAAGAGAAGAAAGAGAGCTATACTAGGTAAAAACTTTCCAGGCAGAAGAAGTGGCAAGCACAAAGGCCCCTAAGGCAAGAGCACACTTGGAATGTTCAAGAAACGGAAGGAGGCCACAGTAGCCCAAACACAGGGAAGGAAGGGAAGGTAGTAGGAGATGAGGTCAAAGGACATAATAAAGGATAGAGGCTGACCACGTAGGGTCTTACAAGCCGTTGCAAGCACTTTGGCTTCTAAGTGAAATGCACAGCCCAAAAAGGTTTAGAACAAAGGAATGGCATGCTCTAACTTAGATTTTCTTGTTGTTTTTTTCTTCCAGCTTTACTGAAGTATAACTGACACACAAAAACTGTATACATTCAAGGTGTAAAAGGTGATGATTTGAAATACACTGTCAAATGAGTACCACAACCAAGTTAATTAACACATCCATCATCATACTTAGTTACCATTTTGTGTGTGTGTGAGGGTGTGTGTGTGTGTGTGTGTGTGTGTGTGTGTGTGTGTGTGAGGGTGTGTGTGTGTTGTGTGGTGAGGATACTTAAAATCTGCTCTTAGCAAATTACAAGTAAACAATACAGCATTATTAACTAAAATCACCATGATATATACATTAGATCCCCAGAACTTAATAATTTTATAACAGAAAGTTTATAACTTAGGTTTTTAAATGATCATTCTGGTAGCTATAGAGAAAACAGACTGAAGGGGAGCAAAGGTGGAAGCAGAGAGACCGGGTAGTAACAACAAGGGAGGTGTTAGACACAACAAAGTGTCACACTGATCACAGGTGAGGAGATCAAGTTAAATACTATAAGTAAATCACTTCCTGAACATCTTGGACTGACTGAAACTTTGTCTTTTCTGCTACCTGAAGATAAGATGATGGGTTCACTTGCCTCAAAGTTCCTTAATTTAGAAGACTACAAAATCTGGAGAAGACAGGGAACACCTGTAAATTATTGTCAACTCTGAACTAAGATTAATTCAAGAAAACAATTTTCACTAATTTCATTTTAAAGAGAAAGTCAAAAAAATACAATTTTGTAACCATCCCTCTAATTTTTACCATGGATTACTTTTCCTGAAATGGGGTGTAGGTACAGAGTATGTATTATGTAGAGGTAGTAAGAGGGACTGAAGCAGCACTGCCTGCTTGCCATAACTACAAAGGATCTCTGAAAAGCCCTTTCCAAGATAACTGAATTAATTCTGTTAAAAATTCCAAGGATTGGGCCAGCCCCGTGGTGCACTCGGGAGAGTGTGGCGCTGGGAGCACAGCGACGCTCCCGCCGCGGGTTCGGATCCTATATAGGACTGGCCGGTGCGCTCACTGGCTGAGCGTGGCGTGGGCGACACCACACCGAAGAGTTGCGATCCCCTTACCAGTCACGAAAGACAAAAAAAAAAAAAAAAAAAAAAAATTAACTATCATTGGTAAATACTATTAACTAAACCTAAGTTTATTCAGTTCGCACCAATTTTTTCACAAATGTCGTTTTTCTGTTCCCAGAACCAATTCAGGATACAATGTTGCATTTAGTCCTCATGTCTCCTTAGTCTCTTCTAATCTGGGAGTTTCTTAGTCTTTCCTTGTCTTTCAAGACCTTGACAGTTTAGATAAGTGGTGGTCGGGTATTTTGTAAAATGTCCCTAAATTTGGGTTTGTCTGATGTTTTCTTAGGAATAGATTGAGGTTATGAATTTCTTTTAAACCAGAGAGGTGATATGCCTTTATTGCATTACATCAGGGTGTACTTGACATCAATGCTGTTTGAAGTAGACTTTCACTGGAAGATATATATATATGTTTATATATATGCATATATGTATATGTATATCTTATGCGTGCACATACACACATGCAGACACACACACACACAGATACACGATAGGTTTTTTCATTACTTCATTTGGAAGGAACAAACATTTGGTCATCTGTGTGTAATCAAAGCCACGACTGATGCAGAAGGCAATCTTAATGGACAAGTTCCTCCACAAAATAGTAGGCAATACAGTTTATTAGTTATGTCACTCTTGTTTAAATAACAAAAACCCATCCTGAGCTGGCATAAACAGAAAGGGAGTCCATGATAGTGATACAAGGCTGTTTCATAAAAGCCAAAAAAGTAGGAATGAAACCAGGTCCCAAGCAAGTATATGAATTAGTCAGGAAATAGAATACTCAGAAGAGAAGAGAATTTAATGATGAGACTACAGAAGTGTGGACAGGTTAACAGATCCAATAAGACATAATGAGGCACCAAGAACAAGCAAGAGTGGAAAACCAACACCATGGCTAAGCCTAACGGGCCAAATGGAGGGAACGCTGTCACCGTAGTCCAGGAAGAGCCACAGCTATGAAAGAGGACCCACCTGACAGGAGCTGCAACTATTGAAAAATTCAGCCACTGCCAGGAATGCACAGGAGCAGAGGGAGCAGAGGAAATAAATACCCAGATAGCTTTCTTCTCCCACCCTCTTATTCTCCTGCTGGTGTACCTACTGTCCAAACCCAACCAGAAGCCAGGAAGCAAAGGAGCCCAGACCCACAGAAGTCAGCCTCCCAATGCACAAGGCAAAACAGAGAGCAGAGGAGAATGGACTGGGGTACTGGGGGAGCAGGAGAGTGTAAAAGAGTGAATAACTACCACAATATGGAAACAAAGACCACTCTATTAACAATCCAAAAATCACCAATTCAGTGCACAGTCCTCTCCTAGGAACACATTCCATATAACACATAGAGTGCGCATGTACAAAGAAAACTACAAAGTTAAAAAAGGATGGTCACTAAAAGATAAGAATAAAAAGAAATCTTTAATAGAAGATAATTCTTTTTCTATAGGCTTAGTAATAACTTGTAAGTTGCTTTGTTATCAACTATTTCATTTTAAAACTCAAAGGAGACATGACCTCATTATTCTTAGCTTTCCTACTTCACTCTGAAGAAATATTTAAAATAATATTGAGATAAGATATGCTGTGATAATATGTAATAATTTTTAAAGATCCTAACACCATTAAACACCACTGATACATCTCCATAATTAAAGAGTATCACTGCAAATGAAAATTTTATCCTCCAAATCTTTACCTATATTTTTTATGTCACTTTTATATAACTTTGATTTGTCAATAGTAACAAACTATGGAACACTATGCTTTGGGGGAAAGTTTAAATAAAAACAAAGTAACACATTAATTTCATGAAATTACAACTAAAAATATATGAAAAATAAAAGCAGACTGAAAAAATGGATAATAGCAAAGCCCACTAAATTTCTATTAGTTCACCAACTGAGTAATCTGCAGGTCCATAAGGTAAAATATGAGCCTTGATCAGATCCTTCCACATTTTCAAGGACACCAAACTTTCCTGAACTAAAGAATTCATTTGCCAAATTACTGTTGACTCCTCAAAAAAAAAAAAAGTCCTGAAGCTCAATTTTAAAGTTTAAGGAATTTAATTTTATGTGCTTTTTGAAGAACACAAGTGTGTCAGAAGACAGCTAAATAATTTGAGGCTGACATTATGGCAAAAGAAAACCGAGGTAGAAAAGTAAAAGTACTTAAGTCAGAGCTACTATATTGTACACATAATGGCATAAACACAAAAAAATAAGAAAGTACAAAAGCAAACAGAATTCACTAGCCAACTAATGCTTTTGCTAGTTCCCAAAATATGCCTACCTAATATACAATTTTTATATTTATCATATTAAGTGGATTAATAGTAAAATTAATATATTTTACCTAAGCACTCTTATCTGGAGAGTATATGTAGACGGTAGTAAGAAAAGAAGGAGAAAACCAGCTTAGAAAGCAACAGTATGAATATGTGCTATGTTACAGCCCATGTCCTACATAACCTTTTGAATGCATGACCTTTAAGTTGCTGAAGGTTGCCTCAGAATTTGGCTCAGCTTGATGGAAACATCTGTTCCCCTTGCAGGTATACTGTATGGACTTTTTTCTCAGTTGGATTCAGAACACAGCAAGTGAGCCCTTGTCTGTCCAATCCTACAGACCCCAACACTTGTAAATCAAGTTCTTGGAGGACAACAGCAGGTCCACATTCCATCACCCTTTCTCAGCCAGCTAGGCCAACTGACTGCTGTGAGAACTGCTCTTATCATGTCATCAAATCAAAACATGTTGAGATGAGGGACTATAAGAGGCATCTGCAGAATTCCCAAAATGTAGTGACTTTGGAGCATTGACAGATGCATCTGTCACTTTATACCTTCAACTAACCTGATGTCCTCTGGCCCGACACAGTAAAGCTGTCCAAGATCGATTCCAATTCTTTCACGTTATTTTCACATGTCTCTACTAGGAAGGCTTGGTGCTTCTTAGCCTTTTAATTAAGAAAGAAAAACTCCACATTATAAGGTCATGTATTATAAGAGCTGCAGATTGTCAGTGTGAACATATATAGCACAATTACATATAAACAAGATAATAATTATTCCACACAAATCTATTACTAATAAATCCTCTTTCTGTCTTAATCATACTTTTTATTTGGCTTAATGTAACACCTTACAAGGTTTCAACAATTTATTGAGGATTTATTGCCTGGCACTATTCTAATATTTTATACATAGTAATTCTTTTTATCCTCACAATAAGCCTATGATGGAAAGGCTATTATTATCACAATTTTACAGATAAGAAAACTGAGGCACAGGAATTAAGGAACACTTTAAAAAGTCATGCTTGCAGTCATGTGGCAACTTGCCAGGTGGCAATCAAAAGTGAATGCTTTCAAGATCAATTAGAAATTACTGCAGCAGTCAAGTGAGAGTAGCTTGTTCTAGAGCATTAGCATTGAAAAGGGGGGTAAGGGTGGGAAATGGATGCACTATAAAGACACTTAGAAGGCAGAATGGCCAGACCTTAGTAACATTGCATTGGCTTAGGCTATCTGGATTAGATTGGACTGGATTGGATGAGGATAGGATACTTTGATAAAAGAAGGAGTCAAGACTAATTCCTAAATTTCAAGCTAGAAGAACTGAGTAGATTTCAGTAAGTGAATGAGAACAATGGAGGTAGAGAAGGTCTTATTTTGGCTGTTTTGTTTACTTGCTTGCTTGCTTTTCACAGGGGGTATGGATCATGAGTTCTGTTTTGATCATATTCCACTAGAGATACATAAGACACTCTCAGCACCAGCACAATGCCTGGCAAATAAGAGGCTCTAAATAAATATGCCAGAGTACTTCAAAAAGTTCATGGAAAGATTTATATTTTTTTTTTTTTTTTTTTGGCGGCTGGCTGATTTGGGGATCCAAACCCTTGACTTTGGTGTTATCAGCACCATGCTCTCCCAGGTGAGCCACCAGCCAGCCCTATATTATCTTTTAATTCTATTTTTCCATGAACTTTTAAAAGTATTGTTGTTTTTTGTTTTTTGTTTTTTGTTTTTTTGGTCTTTTGTCTTTTTCCGTGTCCGGCAACAGATCGCAACCCTCAGTGTTGCCCCCGCACTGGACCGGGGACCGGCAACGGGATTGCAACCCTCGGTGTTGCTCCCGCGCCTCGCTCAGCCAGTGAGCGGGAACCGGTCTGTATGTGGGATCCGAACCCTCGGGCGGGAGCGCCGCCGCGCTTCCCAAGCGGCGCACTATCCAGTGCGCCACCGGGCCGGCCCAAAAGTATTGTTGTTTTGAATAAACAAAGTACAAATAAAGTAGAAAAATACAGGAGGCAGCTGGACATACTGGTGCAAAGCTCAGAAGAGAGGTCAGCTATAGGTTTGGGAATCATGTATAGATACTGTCTGAAGCTTGCCTTAAGAGTGTTTGATGAGAAATGAAAAGAGCTTAGGACAAAGCCTTAAGGAACTCCAGCATTTAATAATAAGAATATTTTAAGGAGAGTTGTCAATTATGTGCAATGCCAAGAACATTCAAGCAAAATGGAGATTAAAAGTGCCCACTAAGCATGGGGATCATTGGTGACCTTGGTGAAATTTGTTTCACTGTGATACAGTTATGACACAGACTGGAATAGGATGAAGGAGTAAACCTGAATTTTTTTCCTAATTGAGTGAGATGACTGAATGGAAACAAGAAGTATAAATAGCACTTTCTTGGTACGAACGAAAGAGGAGACAAAGAGCAGAAGTTAGAAAGGAAAGTGAAGTCAGAGAAGGGTTTTCTTTTTGTTTTTTTTTTCATATGTGAGAAAGTTAAGCATGTTTAAAAGCTGATGAGATGGAAGTACTTATGAAGGAATGCTTATAGATACAGAAGAAATGAGAGGAAAGATACTACAGAACAAAATTGCATCCTTAAAATACGTAAAATTAATAATCGTGTAGATGTCAGCTCAATTATCACTTCTTCAGAAAAGCTGTTCTTCACCACCCTGACTGTATCACAGAATTTAAACTTCACGAGGGGCGGAAATGCCTTTTTTTGTTGTTGTTGTTCTCACCAGTCTATCCCCAGCACCTAGACAATAACTAGTATCTAAAATAAGAGTAATATTTAAATAAATTATAATACACGTTATCAACAGAAAACTGTCAAATCAATTAGGATCATCCACACAGACTTTAAACAGGAGGAACCTCTTCATCATGTCCTGATATGGAAAGATCTCTCAACTACCTTGTTAACAACAAAAGGGTGTGAGGAGTATGCTTAATATGCTACCATTTGTGTGAAACGTGTGTGTGTGTGTGTGTGTGTGTGTGTGTGTGTATACCTACTTGTAAATGCAGAGAGAACTGCTACACAGATTCACAAAAAAGTAGTAACTATGGCTGCCTGAGAAGAGAAACTAGGTTAATTAAGAGATTTTCTTTTTCACTATATAACCTTCTTGTATCATTGAAATATTGTATCATATGCATCTATAATTTATTCAAAAAATTAGATTTTTTAAAAAACAGTTAATTATCAAGCCAACAAACAAGAAAACACTTTGCCACAGCAGATATACGTATGCTTTGTTAATGTGTCGTGAAATACTCTGAAGATCAACTGAGCAAAAAAACCCAGATGGAGACTTATGGAAATTATCATAGACTCACAGACTAATATAAAGTTCATATCCATAGAAAAAGAAACACCAAGTTTTATTTATTAAAAAAGAAATAAGTAAACGAGTCGAAATGAAATATACAATTACCAATGGCCATCAATTAAAGTTTATCTAAAAAAAGATAGTGCTTATAAAGTACCAAGTTTATATATATAAATATAATATATATTTTAAAGTTATTTTAATTATTAAATATTTAAACATTCTATTCAATTCTTTGAGTTTATATATTATGATCATGGTAAAAAAAAATCAAATAGAGAAAAATAGAAGGAAATTCAATCCTCACAGGTAAATTTTTACATTGTTTTATAATTATAGAAACTTCATATAATTTTTAATTCAAATAGGATCACAATATACATACTATTACATAACTGTCTTTTCCATTCATAGTATGTCTCTGACATCTTTCCACAATACAAACTTTTTTAGCTGCATAGTACTCCACTGCTAAGATGTACCATAAATTAATTTAACCAGTCCCCTACCGTTAGGATTTTTAAGTTATCTGCAGAATATTAACTATTGATGACAGTACTACAAGATAAACTGTTATACACATGTCCTTATATATCTTTGCATGCACATTCAAGTATACCTACTCAATAAATCCCTAGAAATAGACCTGATGAGTAAAAAGATACACACAACTGTTTTCACACAATTGTTACTAAATTACTCTCCAGTTGTACCTGTGTGTACTACTACAAACAGTATGAGTCCCTATTTCCCAATAATTTTCCAATGGTAAGCATTAGCAACTTATTTTAATGTGCATTTCTTTCATTTTTTTTATTCTTTTTTCCCATTGTGAATATTTATATCCAGATATCTCACACATAAATTGATTTTAATTTATACAAATCTTTTTTCTGAAATAAGGTTTAACTACTACCTGTCTTTACAATTTTATAATTTTTATTAGCATATTCATTACTCCAAATTGTAATTATTCTTTATC